TTTCTGAAAATATTAGCAGATCACTGTTAAAACAATCTAACATGTTTAACCTTGGGTATAGATGTCAGCACCTCACAGATTTTGAACTTAAAAATTGACAGCATAGTTTTAGGTTATGAATATGTGCGAAGTCTCTCTCTCCTCTCTTCAGCCTTAAGTAATCCAACTTTGGTCATAGGCCTCCCCCAAATCAATCCAGTGTTTTCTAGATTGCGCCACTTGCTTCCAGTTGTGTCCTCCGATCTTCTTAATGGCATTAGCTCATCTAATTTGGTCTCCTCTGCTTCTCTTTCCTAACCATGCTCTCCATTGTTGTATTTCGTGGTTCCATTTTTTATCCTTCAGTTGGGCATTGTGTCCTGCGAAGCTCCATTTTAATTTGGCAGCATGTTCTCCTGCGTCTTTTACTGTGGTTTTGCTTCTAATCCATTTGTTTATTTTTTGTCTATAAGTCTCAACCCCAGCATTGAGCTTTCCATCTTTGTGCCTTTACTATTTTATCCATATTAGACTTGGTGAATGTCCACGTCTGTGAACATACGTGTGTATAGGGAGGATACACTGATTGTAAATTCTGGTTTTCAAATATTGTTCTATTTTAGTGCTTTTCAAGATCCAACTCAGTTTTCCAAATCCTGCCCACGCTAACCTTATTCTTCTGGTAATTTCGGCAGTTTGATTTTCTTTGTTAACTTTTATTATCTGTCCCAGGTAGATGTATTCGCTTACTGTTTCTAAATTTATGTCGTTAAACGTTATTTCTCTAATGTTCGGTGTATTTGTCATTATTTTTGTTTTTTCCAAGTTCATCTTAAGACCTACTTTTTCCGAAGCTTGAAATAGTTGCGTCATCATGGTGTGTAGTTCTTCGAAACTTGTAGCGAATATTACAAAGTCATCAGAGTATCTCAAATCACTCAGTTTTCTTCCATTAACATTTATTCCTTTATTTGCCCAGTTAATGTCTTTGAACATGTCTTCCAGTCGAAGTGTGAATAGCTTTGGTGAGATAACATCTACCTGAGGAACTCCTCTGTTGATTGGTATAGCTTTGATTTTTGCATCTATTTGTATTTTCATTGTAGCTTTCATAGCTCTCTCTATTGCCCAAAGTTCTATGGAGTCGCATGCCTTTTCATAATCAACGAAGCCAATGTATTCAAGTTATATACATTGGCTTTCTCTATTAGCGTTCTGACTGTAAGAAGATGATCCGCTGTACTGTAACCTTTTCGGAACTCTGCCTGCTCTACCGGTTGATAGCTATCGAGCTTCGACGTTAACCTGTTAGTTATTACTCTCATAAACAGTTTGTACATTTGGGACAGCAGGGAGATTGGCCTATAGTTCTTCAGATCTCCCCTGTCTACCTTTTTAAAGAGAAGTATTGTCAAACTTTTAGTCCAATCATATGGGACTTCACCTCTGTGAAGACATTCGTTGAAAAATGTTTAAGCCTTATTGTTCTTTAGTTGTGCCATAGCTTGTTTTATTTCGAAGGATTCTATGTTAGGGAGTATTTCTGAGTTGACATTCGTTATCTTTTTCTTAAGATCTTCCTTTGCAGTGTTATCTGGATTCTCTTTTGAGGAATATAAATCACGGCAAAATGTGACTTTTAGGATATCGTTCTTTTCTCTTATTTTTTTTCCAACTTTATCCTTCAATGAGATTATTATAGGCTTTCCTAAGTTTGATCTTAAGTATTTCAGACCTCGGTTCATGACATATAAATTTTGTTGTTCTAAGAAGCCATTAGCTGGGTAGCCAGTGGTGTCGTTGGGTAGATCAAACAAAAATATTGATTAACCAAGGGTTACATGAAGCCGAACAAACTAGCGTAAAAAAACTGTGAAGGCCTGATGGTGTCACCACATCTCAAAAGGGATTAGGACTGAGGAGGAGGAAGAAGATATATAATATAATTTTTCTCCTCTTTCGTTTCGTGTGCAATAACTATGCATCCCTATTTTAGTTTCAGTATTTTTTTCTTTTTTATCTAATTTTGCGTTGAAATCTCCCATAATGATGGTATACTTTGTATCATTTGCTTCTAGTGCAGTTATCAAATCTTCGTAGAACATTTCAACTATCTCTTCCTGATGTGTTGTTGTGGGAGCATACACTTGTATAACCTTGATCTTGGTTTTATTATCTAGGTCTATTATAATATAAGCTACTCTATCAGAAACGCTTTTATATGTAGAAATGTATGGTGTGAGATAATTTTTGACAAGATATCCTACTCCACCATATGTTTCGTCTATTTTCCCTGTATAGTATAGGCGATTTCCAGAGTTATGGATGCATTGTTCGCCTCTTCTTTTCACTTCTCACAGTCCTACAATACCCCACTTTATCTTGGATAGTTCTTCTTTTAATTCGTAAACCTTTTCATATTTAGACATCGATTGGATATTGTATGTGGCTAGTAGTAACTGTTTTTGTTTGTTCGTATCTATTTTGCCGCGTTTTTTGAGCTTGTGGCTCCATCAGAATCCGTGAGGCTCTGCCCACCTGGGGTATCGTCCCATTTTGTTTCAAGTTTAACATGTTGAGTTTTGAGGGGTATATTGGCATTAAAACAATGTGGTACAGCACCTGTCAGGAATTGTATTCCTCAGTCACGGACCACTAATGACACAGCTGCTGACCTGTGTCATATCCTCAGTTGATCCGCAAGTACTTATTTGGCGAAGCTTTATTCATACCTGTCCTGCATATATACAGGAGAACGGTCCTCTAAGTCATAGACATATAACACAACTAGACTGACTACTGTCATACTGTCGCTTTCCCCCAATGCGACAGAGGAAACTGACTCAAAGCAGTCACTGCATCTCTTTCTAATGGCCGGGTTTATTGACCACGTGACCTTCTCATTGGTAATTTAGGTTAATATAACACAATTTAATAACATATTTTCTAAATGACACTCAAAGCTATTATTTCTTCGAAAATCTGGTTTTAATTTAAGGGGGAGACCATAGCAACCCGCGAGTGCTCGCGAGATGTGAGGGACAATAGAGGAAGCTTGTGAGTTTTTTCTTAGGCATTTTCAAAAGACTTTACAGATCATACTGATGCTAGCCTTCCAAATTTGCCTCCTTCATATATAATGGATGGCTGAAGGAAGAAACCTATTGTTAAAGCTAAAACATTGCGAGGTTCGTGGGGAATTACTTTCGTGGTTATAAATCTTTGTCACAGCCAACTTTTTTTGTAAAGTTGAAGGTGACTGCAGTATTCTACATGTAGTAGCCAGTGGTATCGCTCAGGATTCAATACTAGTTCCTGTAAATAGAGACGAGAAACCAAAGATACAATTGCTAAAGGAAATCAGAACCATAGAATGATCAGACAAAAAATCAACCTAAATCTAAAAAAAAATTAAACAAATGATTACAGGACAATAATAAGAACAACCGTTTCATATGTGAAACGTGCGTTCAAAAAACTAGGAGGAAAACCTGGAGCGATGGGAAATAAAAAAATGTTAGAGCCTTATACAGAAGCGTAAATAAGTCAAAGGAGGGAGAAAAGGAACAAATATTGAGATAGAAACAATCTATAATGAATCTAAAATAACATCGTACCAGATTAAAGAAGCAATGCTGTGAAACGAGGAACCTGGTCGAAAATAGTGAAAGAAGAAAGCATAGAGCATCTATAAAAATAATATTTGAAGCAAAAAAAGGTCAGAAAACTTTTCTTTTTAATATAGTATTAGTTTGTAAATGTAATATTTGTAAATATAAAATTGTAATACAAATTCTAACCTAGACTTAGGTCTACATGGACTGAAGAGCTTTACAGATTAGTTAAAGTATACTAACTTTATTTTAATATAAATGACAAAAAATACTTTATGTAAAATATGCATAAAAATTCCATTTCACTCATGAAATCGCACGGTTCGTGCTGTTGACTTCTTCTTTCGTGAAAACAGTATCACTTTATGCACTTGTTGCAAAAATTACTATAAAAACGTAGACTTCATCATAATTCTCCTCATTATATTCAGCTTCAAGCACTGTTTCATTAAAATCCTATACACCGTGGTATAAAAGTGTTATTTTCGATGACCTAGAACACATCGAGATCCCATTTTGTGGAATGTTAATCTATTTTTAGAGTTTATTAGATGTATGTCTCAATCTAAAATAAGTTGATGATAGAGAAAAAACACGTTCGTAGTATTTTTACGACACCTTGGAAAATTGTAGGTTTTTATTGTCTACTGTATTTCAACAGTATGTAATATTTCTAATGAATAGTTAAAATATTTCCGAAACTATTCCTAACTAGCTCGCCAATCAGCCTATAAAAAAATAAACAAAAAGCTAGACCAGGTGATATTACAGCTGAACTGATTAGGACTGGTCTACCCAAACCTTAAACCTTATTAAATGAAGAGTCAGGGGGAAAAACAATCTGCGTCCACAAAAACAGTTTTAATGGAAATCGAAATTAATGTTTCAGATTAAAACAAATTGTTTTAATTCAACCGTCTAAATCGGTAAATTTTTTCAGTGGTACGTTGACATGTTTACAGGAAAAATTATGAAAAACAAAAAAATATTTTATTTGCGAAACAAAAACGAAAAATTGAGTGTGCCGGGGGAAGGGCAAAAGAAATATTAGTAGACCCAGAACCTTTCATTGGCATATCAAGAAGCGCAGCCAAAAGAATGATTCGATGAAGAAACAAAGATCTACTAGATATGAAAAGGAATCATCTGCAAATTATTGTAGGTCTCTTAACATGGGGGACAATGTCGCCCCAAGGGGCACATCAATACACTCGGATCTAACCCATAGATAACACCTTGAAGAGTCTACATTATGCGGAATATAAAAGACATTTTTTCCTAGGAATAGATCACAAGAGGACTAACAAACTATTGTGTTTTTCTTCTTGAAAACAGTGCTATCGTGAATTTCCAAATCGGATATGTTTCAATATTATTATCGCTAAATACATCATAAAATTCACTTACCGTGGTCAACATGCAAGTACTTTCTTTGACTGCTCCGCAGCATCCTAGAAACGCTGTGATGAAAACGATGGAACCGATAACGATCGAAAGGATTGGAGCTAGACCGAAGTCTTTTGGCAGAACGTTGGTAGCTTCGCTGACATTCAATTTGATTAAAATTCCTATGATTATTAAAGCTAGTCCAGCAAGCTGAAACAAAGAAAACGATATTAAACATACAGTAAATATTTATTTAAACTTTTAGTTGTAAAAATTTATCAAAGGAAAAAAGTTATTTATCATAAATCAAAAATGTAAAGAATCCATACAGTGTTAGGGTAGTATAGACTTAAAATCTAAAATAAATTGTTCAATATATAGTTAAATCGGGAGAGCATTTGACAAGCTGACCCAAATTGTTGCATTTTTGAATTCTTTGGTATGTATTGAAATCACCCCGTATATGTTAAAACACAGAAATGTTATTTCAATCCTATTTGCGTCGCCGAGGTCGATAATGAACCATTTTACAGTTTGTTTATATTTCACAGATGCGTTTTTCCTCTGTATTTCTTTTGATCCAACCGCTTTAAGATATTTTTCGTCATCAAATACGAAATATTCCTGTTTATGTTTTGTTTATACTACCGAGTTGGGCGAATGAATTTTAAAGATAATTACATCACTCTCGCTGAAGCCATTGTCAGGGGCAGTTGGTTTCAGGTTAGTCCAAATTTTTCGTCAAATTTGTAAAGTTTTTCCGTTTTTTTTTTCGTCCCTTTTCATGGAAAATGTGTAGCAGTGTATATATAGTTACAGTTTAAGTGAGGTTGTAGAGAATCTTTGAGAAGAAAAAACGCTGTGGGTGTCGCGTCAAGAGACCGGCAAATTTGTTGAAAAATGGTGAATTATACTCAATGTAATGTGTCAGTTTTGCAAGAGTTATCACTGTTTCTATGTTTCTAAGTATCTAAGAGATTTGGGTAGTCTACAACAACTTTGAAGGATAAGCCATTGTGTCCAGTTGTACCTATTCCAGTTTTTTTAAGAAACCGTGTCAAATTTTGCGTCCAGTGCCCCAACTTCCAACCTCAATTTTTGCAAAAGTTCAGTTACAACCTCAGAAATTTAAAGTAAAGAAATTTTAGTGAAATCCAGATTTAGTGAAACTCTTTTGTATTGATTTTTAAAGGTAAACATTTTTAATAATAATTGCTTTCATAACAAATTGCTTCGACTAAATTTCTGATGTTAATTCTAAGATATTTTCAGTTTTGCTTGTTTTTTTTTCTATGTGTGTTTCCAAATTCAAACTGCTGTCGCTATCCACTTTTCCGTCAATTGGATTAAGCGCCGGTGCCAGCTCAGCTGTTATTTTTCTGTCTTTCTATTTACTGTATATCATCATCGAATCTAATGCATTTCTTTTGATCATTACTAGTTTCCTTTTAACACAGTCTCACCTGCATGTTCTACATAATCTGCACCAGGTGAACATTTCTATAGTGCTCAATCTTTTTTGTCGTTATCTTTCTATTTCAATTTTTGGCATTGTATATAGTGTATTTTTATGTATGAGAGAGTAATAAAACAATAAATTATGTATGCAAATCCCTAAACTGTTGATACGGGTGACTCAATGAAAAACAGATATTTGTCAACAAGTTTACAGAAGTATATAGGAAAACAATTTTAAATTGAGTATGACCACCAGGTATAAAGGTTGGAGCAGAATAGAATACAATAGTTGTGAGGGTTACTAATCCCTAAATAAGGTTGCCAGTGTCGGAGTGATGGAGGTTAACAGGTACTAATGAATTTGCAAGAAATGTAAGATGTTTATTTTATTGGTTATATATAACCAATAAAAGTTTAATAAGTACCTACCTATTTGCAAAATAAAGTTTAATTCTTCAGATAAAATAAAACGTTTTATTTTATCTGAAATGAGTGCATTCCACGAAGTAAGGGTTTCAACAATCAAACATTTAATTCTTTAATTCCAGGAATCTACGACAGTAATTGACTAGATAATTACCTTCTAAACTTATTCCACAGAAAATGTGATAGTGGGTTTTTCCATTTTGTAGGAAGGTCCAAGTGGCGTATTCAAAATTCTTAACAGTTCACTAAAAGTAGGTACTTCAGTTGCAAGGTGCAGTTTATTGTGTATACTAGTGTTATGGAAAATTTGGAAGTGCCTTGTAAACGCCGAAAAATTGGTCCTTTAACAGTTAATGAAAAAAAAATTAATATTTAATTGTGAAAAAGACAGCAAATATTTGATTTCACGCAAACGGCGCCTTTGTATCTGTTGATACGTATTTCGACCTAATAGGTCTCATCAGAACAGTTATTCAAAGGTGTTCTCCTTTGAATAACTGTTAATATACTGTTAAGCCTGTATGCTAATAATTGATTCATTTTAACTAAATTAAATGGCAGGAAGAAGGTGTAAAGTAGATACTTTATATGCATTTGATGTATAAACAAAATAAAACCTTGACTACTACCAAACAATGCATTTTTCTTACGTCACATGTATGTTACTTCACATGCCAAGCCGCCTCTGGCAATGAACGTGCAGAGAGTTGGCCTTCTCAGAATGCCTACTTGGAATGAATATTTTTTGTTTACAGGTAACAAGTGATTAAAAACGGGCGAGTCAGATATGGTGTCAACACTGAAACGTTTATTTTATAGAGTTATTCAGGTATACGACGACATGGTATAATGCAGGATTTTCCCAACGATGTGGAATTTTAGATGTGACGACGATATTATTTCTATGATGTAAATGATGAATACTAAAAACCGTTTAGTAATGTACTTCTCACAAATGTATGTACTTAAACCTGCTACAAGAAAATATGGTTTATCCAGTGTCTTTTATCCATTTCTGAATCCACACCTCTCTATTCTGCATCTTATAATTTCACACAGCTCTTACAGTTTTATTGATACCATTGGTATTAATTCTAGTAAGACCACCTAGGGGCAGCCACCACATGTAAGTCAATCAATCAATCAATCAGTTTATAATCTTCTACGCCGTCTTCTTATTTCCAGTCACCATTTATCTCGGTCGTTCCAAAGGTTTTCTTCAACTCTCCTCTCACCTAAGTCTTTATTGATTCCTTCTCTCCAACTTAACCTCAGTCTACCTTACTTTCTTCTTCCATGCGGTGTCCAATTCAATACTTTCTTTGGTAGTATGTGTTTATCCATTCTTTGGACGTGTCCATACCATCTTAGTTGATTTATGATGCCCTCTGTTATATTGTGCTTAACACCCATAAGTTATCGTATTCTTTCGTTTCTAACTCTGTCTAATCTTGATTTTCCAACCGCTCTTCTCCAGAAGTCCATTTCTGTTGCTTCTAATGCTTTCAAGTTGCTTGAGAATTTATGTATTTCTCGGTGCTAGAAATAACCGTGAAGTATTCTCAGGTTGTTTCGTTCACATATGTTGATAAGCCTATCTCCATGGTCATTTCTAGTATCTCCTCCGAATGGGCCTACTAATAGGAGTATTTCTTTTGATGTTCCTATTTTTTATATTTCGTAAATATGGTTGCAGAAATTTTCTTTATCTTTTAATAAAGCGTCCTCGTTTACTGCATAGATATCAAGAATGGTGACTTTACTACCATGCAGGGTCAGCTTAAGTTTGATGATGCGCTGATTCACTGCTTCCTAGGATGTTATGCACCTTCTAAGCCTTTTTCCTTTAAGTATGGCCACTCCTTGCTGGGCTCGTTTATCTCTCTGTATTCCTGAGAAAAAGTGGTCGTATTCTTCTAGGTTTTCTGAGTCTTGCCCTTTTTTTAGTCTCGGTAAGTATTAAAATATCCATTTTTGATTTATTGGCTTCCGAAATTACGTCGTTGAGTTTATTGTGGAATCCTTGAACGTTTTAAGTACCAAAATTCATAGTCCGTTTTCTAAGCTTAAGTTTGTCTTCATTTGGCCAATCGTTTCCGAGGCCTGTTACTGGAAGTTTTACCCTTAAAGTTTTTAACAAGTATCGAGGGGTTAACTGGTAACAGTTACGTTGAAGGGATTCTTTTTATTAGATTCTTTTATAATTTTATGCCACAGGAGAGTACACAAGCGGAGCATACTTTCTATGTCGTTTTTCTATAAGAGCAAAATCCCTGCCAGAGGGAAGGTGAGTGTGTCCGCTGACTAAAAAGTGGTGTGTAATAGACTTAAACTTTTGTTCCTTCACTAGCTGGAACCATAAACACATTAAAAGCCAGTTTTTGTTTTGGCTGGAACAATTATCCGTGAAGAAAACGAGATGTTCTACTTCACCTATCTTTGAGCTCAGAAATTTTATGAGTATGGATGCAATTTCATCACTTCCTCTTTTTACAACGTTTTCCGTCCAGATAAACATAAGACCAGCGTCTTCTGTACAATCATAGTTTCCTAGATTATACATTCATATTTTCCTACAGTAAAATTCAGGACCAGTGCTTAATTTGGGAATCGGTAACGCTTGCTTCAAGTCAAACACATTGTTGGAAAACCAACTAATTCTTTAATTGTTTCAATTTAACCTAACGCCGCCTCTGTTCCTTAATAACACATGTTAGCCCTTATTAGTTAAAAGAACCAGAAATCTTCAGTGCATTTGACGCCCCTCTTACACCCGCTGACCCTTTGTCATTTACCCAAGCTGGCCACATATTGCATACAAGCATATAAGGGCAGTCGCATTATGTAGTTCAAGTCAAGAAGTCGCTAAATAAGTTATTCTCTCTCCTCGTTCTCTCTCTCTCTCTCACCCGTATATATATATTACAAGTTATATTATAAGTTAGTTTAGTGTTGCAAAGTGCAAGGTGTATATATGTAAAATAGTTTGCAAGTAAAATAAAGCGAAGAAGTAAAGTGTAAGTGTATAATTTCACCCCCACAAGAGTAACAAAACGAATCAGCAACCTACGCTTAAATCCTGTAAGAAATCAAGACAGGTCACCACGAGGGTTTTGGTGCTCTCAGGGAACGTTGAAAATAACCCCAACGTTTCCCTTTAATACACATCTTGGATATATTTTCCAAGGAAGACTACCTTCACAGTCAATTCCCAACTATCATGCACATGTCTCGGACAATAACAAGAATTCTTCTTTCTCAACTCAGGTCTCTCTTTGTATCAATTCTTTGCATAACACTGAACCTCTCGATGCACTCATTCAAAA